CGCATCCCTGAACACTACGGGCAATTTAGCATGACCAATCCACCTAGCCTGCACATCTTTGGACTGTGGGAGGAAACCGGAGCACCTGGAGGAAACCCACGCAGATGCAGGGACAATGTGCAAACTCCACACAGTCGCCCGAGGGTGGAATCGAACCCAGGTCCCTGGGATTGTGAGGCAGCAGTGCTAACCACTGAGCCACCGTGCCGCATGTTATTATAATCTGGAATGTGCATCTGGAGATGGGGGTGGAAGCAGTTTCAACAGCAATTTTCAAAAGGAGATTGGGCAAATGTGTGAATAATTTGTGTGGCTACAGGAAAAGGGCAGGGAAATATTAGAGTAAGTAGATTAGTCACTCAGTCAGAGTAGGCATGATGGGTAAATGACAATTTTCAACAAAAACTGATATGGCTGCAGATTTATAGGAACAATACATCTTAATTCTAAGTTGAGCGTGTGAACTTTCTTTATTTGATGTTGCACTTGCATGACAGAACAGCCTTAAAATGCTGCTGTGCAATACTGTCTCAGGATCTCACACCATAATATTGTCTACATAAATATTTTGGGGCAATTTCTGAGGTGGCCAAGGTATTAAGCAATCGAGATGCACCATAGAGATCGAAGTGCTACATGCCCATGACTGCATACTGCTACACACATTTAGTTGTTACTTTAAATTTAATTTGAACCCCTCCATATCCGGGCAGTGGAAATCCTGCTTCTCTGTACTGAACAGCTGGACTGAACACTTTATCCATCCAATGGCCACAAAACTGGCTGCCTCCATGTCAGTGGCAGTTTTCATGTGACTATCAGCAACCATACAGCCTTCACCTGTAGATACCGGTTTATTCTGTGGGTCTCAGGTTCTCCATGAGGCAGCACTAATGCATTTCAATTGGATGGCAGGGCTGCTGATGTCAGAGCTGACATTGGCAATCCCGTGTGAAAGTTAACACAGCATTAGGCTAGCAATGAAACAAATCCATTATGGATTGGCAGATGCAGGTAGTTTAAACAAATGCACTAAAGGATTCCTTTTGCCACAGGTAACCTAACACTCTGACCCTTTGTGATGACTCAATAGATTTTTCCAGAAGTACATGACATACAGCTAACCTGATTGACTAGGTGTCCGCAGCTTTCTCTTATCGACACACACTACAATTGGGTCTAAGGATGGATTTGCAGTCATTATTATGCAATAGACACACATCAAGAGAGGTACACTAACCAAGTATTACATCCAATCAGTACATGCAAGTTGCCTGCTGCCTTCTGGTTAGCAATGAAGAGATGAGCAAAGCATTCTGTTTGCTACAGGGTCCTCACATTAAGAGGCTTTATTTGTAATTACAGCATGTTTGTAAATCATCTTGCTTTCAGAGTTTGAGCTGAGTCAACAGGATTAACACTTGGTTAACAAAATAAACCTCGTGACTTCAGTTTAAAAGGTTCAGCTACATCTTGATCTGAGATTTTGATCCAATTGTTACGGCCCAGGTTGCTCTCCGCATTCCCATTTCTGGCAATTTTCTTTGCCAGGGGAGGGGTGTTTGGGTAGTCAGCTACATGAAGCAATCCCACTTTCACCTCCATTGTGGGGCTAGCCACTTCAAATGCAATGTTGCAATTTTGGTGGGGTCAGGTGTGTCCTACAGAGGAATTGTGAACCACTGGGTGACTCTAGACCTGAGTTAGCCACCAACGTAAAAGTCACTCAACATTTTCGTTGACATGCACTGCCCTTTTTATCTCATCATAAAGCTATCAACCAATCACAGCTATTGATAATTTCAGTTCCAAAACGTTCAGATCCATTAATTTCACGTAAATAAATCTGCATTGAAAAACCATTAAGAAAGAATAAATTACAGGTGAACAAAGATGTCAATAAAACAAAACTTGCACTCCCCTTTGCAGAAGTGCCAAAATTGTTCGTTATGTTCATTGGATCATTCATTCTCAGGGTTCAACCAGCCACATCACCTGTGCGTCTCCCTTGCCACCAGGGGTTTGCCTCTGGAGGTAGTGTGATCAATGCCACCCTCCAACTCCAACATTCCCAGAAACAATGCCTGGTGGGTGGGAGCCTCTTTAATGGCAGTGCGTCTGTCTGCAGGGTCAAGAACTTTCCAGACTCTCATTTCTGATATCCGTCATGAAAATCTGGTCATTGCTTGTCAAAGGTTACTCAAGAACTGTACTACATGGTCGCTACTTCCTCAGGACAATTCACATATTAATGCATGTTGGAACTTCTAGGCTTGCATTCTCTCCTCATTATCACGCCTCCATTGGTTTAGTTTTCTTAGGTTAAAGCAACAAATGTCAGAAAAACAAATATTTGATCCTATAAAGCTACAGCCCTGAACCATGAAAAGTTCAGCGATTTGCTTTGACATTACTATTAACTCCTATGTAAGCAACGTTGTAATCCTTTTGTGGTAAGCTTCACCACCTGCCACAAATTTGTGCTGCACAAGTGGCAAGGAATGACTATTTCCGGCAAAAGAATCTAATCAACTCCCACTGATGTTCAATTACATTACAATCACTGAATTCAGCATCCTGGCAGTTATAAATACTGTAGCTACAACAGCAGGTCAGAGTCCAGGAATTCTGCAAATAACTCATGGACAGTGGTCTTAACTTTGTAGTGGGTGGTTTACAGCTTCTAGGCCACTTCAGGGAGTATACAGGGTCCTCTGTAGAGTAGGTCAGGAGGCAATTTTCTTCCCTGAAGTGAGTTGGTTAGATTTTCATTACAAAACTGCAGCTTCCATAGTCAACTTTACCAAATATGTTGCCTTCAGTTTCAATGAGTTTTGTACTTGTGAACTCTCTCATTGTTCGTAGCACAATAATCATGGTACAAAATAAGCCCAATTCTGTTCACAAATGTGTTATACAATATAATGTATTAAGTAACAGTAGGAGTATGATTATTTCCAAAATCCATTTGCATATCAACATTTCAGAGTCATTGATTAGTTTCATATCTATCATGATGTTGCTTTATTAATATACACGTTCAAAAGGATATTTTTAAAACTCTCTTCCTTTAAATGCTTCTTCAAAACTACTTATTTGACCAAGCTTCTGATTTTCTGTCCTGAGCTTCCTTCAAGACACAGTCCTTAAGCTTCCTGCTTTTGACCCAATATCTTGGTGTAAAATTTTCCTCGTTAATGCTTCTGAAAGTTCCTTAAGATGTCTTACTATGTTAAAGATGCTAAATAAATGTAAGTAGCATGGTATAAGTGGATAGAATCCCTATAGTATGGAAGCAGGCCATTTGGTCCACCAAGTCCACACCCACTTGCCGAAGAGCATCCCACCCAGACACACCTCTCTACCCTGTCCGTTACCCTGCATTTCCCATGGCTAATCATCTAGCCTGTACATCCCTGGACACTATGGGCAATTTAGCATGGCCAAGTAGCATGGTAACTTAAGTAGTGTACCTTTTCAGCCTGAATTGACTGAAGTTCTTGGCTTGCTGTGGGATTAGGCAGGTTACACCCTGTTTAATGCAGCTTAGAGTGGCACCAATATCTAAATCTTGGTTTGCAAATACAAAATAATGAATGCATTTGCTAACAGCCTTAGTTATTTAATATGAACCTGATACAAATGATAGCAACATTCACTGTTTTGACACACCAACTTTGTCATGATTTGTTGTGTCGATGGAATACTTGGAATTCTATATTAAAGTCATGGTAAAATTGGCTCCCTGTAAAATGATGTTTTTTTTTGACAGGACTACTTTGTGAGAACCGAAAACCTTGAGGCCCTGTATTATGCATTGCAGGCAGAAATTGCAGCAATATCTGAGGGGAACTTCGATACAGAGATGCAAATTATAATTCCTGAGGAAGAAAGTAAGTTTATCCATTAAGTTTGTTGTTCCTTCACCGGTTTGTCTGCATGCACACAACTGTACGTGCACATACATCTGACTACATGTTTGGAGTTGTTATCTGGGCCAGATACCAATTCAAGAAAGAAAAAGAAAAACAAGAACCTGTACAATCCCCATGATTTTCTTTACATTAAAAGGACTGGTTTAGGAGTAACAATTAAAAATGACCAGGAAATCCACCTTGTAGAATCAAAAAGAACTTTAAAAATTGGTGAAACAAATCTGGATCCGAGGGTCCTAAAGCAAGGGTTGTAAAAGTCTAATAAACAGACACAGCAAGTATCAACTGGAGATTAGAATGACTATGAGGTGAGTTTATTGTGACATACAAGAACCTGAGGAGTCTTCATAGGGTGCAGTGGAAAGAATGTTTCTACTTACAGGAGAATCTAGAATCAGTCTTTTAAGACTAACAGGAAGAGGATTTTTTTCTGAGGCTTGTGGGACTTTGGGATTCTCTTCCTCAAAGGGTGGTGAAAACACAGAGTGATTGACTATCTTTAAAACATAAGTAGATAGATTCTTGATCTGCAAGGATGTGCATCGTTTCTGTGTTAGAAGGGAATGTGGAGTAATTGTATCAGCTACAATGTTATTGAATGGTGGAGCAGGCTCAGGGGCCTATTCCTGCTCCTAAATCGTATGTTTGCACGTTCACTTTAGAACAGCATTTACCAAAGTGGGAGTTGAACTTTTGAAATCACCATCCTTCATGTTGTTCTCTTCGTTCTTACCATTACCGCCTCCAACTCCCACCCAATGCCACTCTGACCCCTCCAAGTATTCACCAACGGATCACAACAATTTTCAAGCCGCAAAATAGGGTCATAATAAGAAAGAGTTTGGGTAGCAATGTTTTCAGAGTATTAATGCACCGTATCACAGAATGTTGTCACTAGTGCTGGATGTTTTAGGTGTGGAAGAATTGTAAACCTTAATTATCATGTTGGGCCTTGCAGGGTTTGGAAGGAGAGATGAGATATATTGATTACCCCTACTTTAGCATCACACTGTGAGAGTGTGTGATTTCCCACTTTAAAGCACAGACATTTTCAATTCCTCTAACCTTCTGAAATGATTGGCCACAACACCCACAAGCTCGCCGATGCGGTTCTCATTGGCTGGCTGCATTTTATCAAGGCACACAATGAGGTCTTTATTATCCTTGGTGTGGAACACAACAAGCTGATCCTTTCCTGTTGATACGCTCACTCCAGTAACCTGCAGAGGAGGGAGAAATACAATGCTGTCATCTAACTTACTGACAATACCTTTCCGTGCTGTACCACATGCACTTGTCAGAAACTAACAATTCATTCTATGATTTTAATAGAAACAGACTGGACTCATTGTATCTGTGCTAGCTATCCATATAGCCGCAGATTCCCATGCCATGTCACCAACAGAATCACTGAATATTATATTTATTTACTTCTTTAAAAAGCTCCAAACCATGACACAGAATCATAATATTATCTGCCTATTTGAACAGCAGATGCTGGGGACATGATATGTTGGACTTCTTGTTGATTTTAGTTTCATTACTTTATGATTTTTCCAGGAATAGTTGAAGAACGACAGAACTATTCAGGATCACAGCACACCTTGTGATTGTTAAAAGCAGCACTTTGTAAGTGTGATCACACTATTGTTATTGTTGAAAATGTTGCTGATACTTACAAGTGACTATTATAATACCAAGATCTCAAAATTTCATGCCAGCTAACTAGAATCAGTGCAGTTTAGAAATGTTATATTGCACTTACTTAAAATAGTCATTGAATTTCAAGAAGTACCACACCTTTTCAAAAGGAATCAAGTGTCCACCCAAGTACAACAGGCAGCATATAAAAAAGGTCATGCAAGGTTTCATTTTGAAATAGTCATCTCCATGCCAAAATTCAAGATGAAGCAGCTCTCCTCATCTTAACACACGGACCTACAACTCGGAGCATTGTTCATCCTTACTGATTCATCACAGGATACTAACTTACTAGTCTGTTCAGAGAAAATATCCAAAGCACAGTGCGCAGTTATCAGTTCACGCAGATTCAAAAAATATATAAGCTCAGCGTCTGGGCAGGAATGGGCAAATAATGCAAAATATTTGCAAAGAAAATAAACTTCAGACACAAAGAGAAACAGAGAACAACTAAATATGAAAAGTCTAAAGTCATAGGTTTATTGTTAGCATGGTCAAATGAGATGCGTGGATACTTTCATCTGTGACACTGGGCTGAAATCTATTTTTACCTATAGTGGGGTTGTGGAGATATGGAGATAGATTAGAGACTGGAACAAAAACAGAAGTTGCTGGAAATGCTCAGCAGGTCTGGCAGCATCTGTGAAGAAAAAAATCAGAATTAAAGTTTCGGGTCCGGTGACCCTTCCTGGGAACTGATGGTAGCTAGGAAAACAAGGTGTAGAGCTGGATGAACACAGCAGGCCAAGCAGCATCAGTGGAGCAGGAAAGCTGACGTTTCGGGCCTAGACCCTTCGCTCTGTAGCTGGGAAAATGTTGGTTTAGATGCAGAAAATAGGAAGGGGACAGGGTAGGCAGTAAACAATAGGATAGAGCCCAAAGAGAGAGAAGAGCAGTTGGATAGACAAAGGAGTTGATAATGATCTGGCTGGGAGTGTCAACAGTTGTTAATGGGGACTGTTAGTGACCAACAATAGGTAGTGTGTAATGGCAGGCTATATGGCAACAAGGCCTGGTGTATGGGGTAAGGGGCTGGGACATGGGAGAGTTTAGGCCCTAAAATTATTGAACTCGATATGGAGTCCAGAGAGCTGCAGGGTCCCCAAGTGGAAAATGAGGTGTTGTGCTTCCAGCTTGCATTGAGCTTCGCTGGAACACTGCAGCAAGCCTGAGACAGAGATGTTGGTCAGGGAACAGGGTGGTGTGTTAAAGTGGCAGGCAACAGGTAGTTCAGGGTCTTTTTTGCGAGCAGAACGTAGATGTTCTGCGAAGTGGTCACCCAGTCTACGCTTCGTTTCCCCAGTGTAGAGGAGACCACATTGCGAGCAGTGGATGCAGTAGACTCGATTCTGGGAAGTGCAGATGACGTGTTACTTCACCTGGAAGGTATGTTTGGGCCCTTGGATGCTGGGGAGGTAAATGCTCAGGTGTTGCACCTTCGCCGGTTACAGGGGAAGGTGCTGTGGGGGAAGTGTTACTGGTGAAAGAAGAGTGGAACAGGGTGACCCAGAGGGAATGATCCCTGTTGGAGGTGGACAATGGAGTGCAGTGGAATATGTCTAGCAGTGGCATCTCGCTGAAGGTGGTGGAAATGGCGTCTGATGATCTTCTGGATGTGGATGCTGATGGGATGGTAGTGAGGATAAGGGGAACCCTATCGCTGCTGCGGGAGGGAAGAGAACCGGCGAGGGCAGAAATGCAGGCGATGGGTCGGACCTGGTGGAGGGCCTTTGCTCCAGGAAGAAGCGGAAAGCTCCAAGACCCTCCTGGTGGAGGGTGGACACGTAAAGGGATTGCACGTCCATGGTAAAGAGGCGGTGGCTGGAATCTGCAAACTGTAAGTTTTGAAACCAGCGTAAAGTGTCAGAGGAATCATGGATGTATGTGGGCAGGGATTGGTCCAGGGGAGAGAAGACTGAGTCAAGGTCGGAAGAGAGGAGTTCTCTGGGGCAGGAGCAGGCTGAAACAATGGGTCTGCCAAACACCACCAGGAGGGTCTTAGGGCTATCCGCTTCTTCCTGGAGCAAAAACCTGAACCACCACCACCCTCCTCCACTTGGCCAAGTTCGTCCTCACCCTCAACAACTTCTGTTTAAACTCCTCTCATTTTCTTCAGGTCAGAGGGGTGGCCATGGGTACCTGCATGGGCCCCACTTATACCTATCTCTTTGTGGGATACATGAAGCATTCCTTGTTCCAGTCCTATTCCAGTCCCCACCCACAACTCTTTCTCTCATATATTGATAATATCATCGGTGCTGCTTCCCGCTCTCGTCCATAGTTGGTAATGTTCATCGCTTTCACTTCCAATTTCCACCTTGCCCTCACTTTCATCTGGTCTATCTCTGACTGCTCCCTTCCCTTCCTCGACATCTTAGTTTCCATTTCTGGGGATAGACTGGCCACTCATATCCACTGTAAACCCACTGACTCCCACAGCTACCTGGACTATACATCCTGAAACCCTGTTTCCTGTAAAGACTCCATCCCATTCTCTCAGTTCCTTCATCTCTGTCGCATATGTTCAGACGAGGCCAACTTCGACAAGGGAGCCTCCAAAATATCCAACTTCTTCAACTGAGGATTCCCCAGCACCGTCGTCGACAGGGCCCTCAACCGGGTCCAACCCATCGCCTGCACTTCTGCCCTCACCCCTTCTCTTCCCTTCGGCAATAGCAATGGGGTTCCCCTTGTCCTTTCCTACCATCCCACCAGCATCCACATCCAGAAGATCATCAGATGCCATTTCTGCCACCTCCAGCGAGATGCCACCACTAGATATATATTTTCCTCCACACCTTGTCCACCTTCAACAGGGACTGGTCCCTCTGGGACACCCTGGTCTAATCTTCCTTCACCCCCAACAGCACCTCCACCCTCAGCCCTATAGCACCTTCCACTGCAACCGGCGAAGGTGCAACACCTGCCCATTTACCTCCTCCCTCCCCAGTATCCAAGGGCCCAAACGTACCTTTCAGGTGAAGCAACACTTCACCTGCACTTCCCAGAATCTAATCTACTGCATCTGCTGCTCACCATGTGGTCTCCTCTACATTGGGGAAACAAAGCATAGACTGGGTGACCGCTTTGCAGAACATCTACGTTCTGCTCGCAAAAAAGACCCTGAGCTACCTGTTGCCTGCCGCTTTAACACACCACCCTGTTCCCTGATCAACATCTCTGTCTCTGGCTTGCTGTAGTGTTCCAGCGAAGCTCAATGCAAGCTGGAAGAACAACATCTCATCTTCCGCTTGGGGACCCTGCAGCCCTCTGGCCTCAATATGGAGTTCAATAATTTTAGGGCCTAAACTCTCCCATGTCCCAGCCACCTGCTCCATACACCAGGCCTTGTTAGCACATAGCCTGCCATTACACACTACCTATTGTCAGTCCCTAACAGTCCCCATTCACAACCACTCACCCTCCTAGCCAGATCATTATCAACTCCTTTGTCTATTCAACTGCTCAGCTCTCTCTTCGGGCTCTATCGTATCGTTTACTCCCTAACCCCATTCAATTTCCCTATTTTCTGCATCTAAACCAACATTTTCCCAGCTACCATCAGTTCCCAGGAAGGGTCACCGGACCCGAAACATTAACACTTTTTTTTTTTTTCACAGACACTGCCAGACCTGCTGAGAATTTCCAGCAACTTCTGTTTTTGTTCCTGATTTACAGCATCTGCAGTTCTTTCAGTTTTTATATAGATTAGAGACTGTTCTTCTTAGAGAAGAAAACTCTGATAAGCAATGTCATAGATGTGATAAAAGTCATGAGGGATTTGGACAGAAAAAAAATTGTTCCCATTGGTGGAATGATCAACAATGAGTGGACACAATCTCAGGATCACTGACAAAAGCAGCAATAGGGTCACAAGTTTAACAAAAACAGAAATTGCTGGAAAAGCTCAGCAGATCTGGCAGTATTCGTGGAGAGAAATCAGAGTTAATGTCGAGCAACTGTTCTTCAGTACAGGGAATCAGAATGGGGTCACAGTTTAAGACCAATTTCGAGCAATGTGTGGGTATGATTTGGAATGCATTGTCTGAGAGAGTGTGGTAGAGGTTGATTCAATCAAGGTTTCCAAGGTTTTGAAGAAAAAAAACAATTTCAGGGTTACAGGAAAAGGGTTTAGCTGGAGGACTGGCTGGTTGCTTTTGCAGAGAGACTGCATGGGCACAATAAAAAGGATCGAACAGCCCTATTTTGCAGTGTAAGCCTTTTGTGAGTTGTTTTATTGAAATTGGAGCATTGCAACAAGATGACTATCAACAGTGCTGGACACTGTTGTTCCTACACTGTGCTCTGTGGCCGATTCACAAAGTTCACAAAACATGGGAACAATCAAAACCATAACACTTTGCCCTAGCTGAAGGGATGGGCTGACAAAACAGCAGGTGGGATAGTTCAGGAACTTTCATCATATTTCTGTTCTCCGCAGTCTAGCTCAAGGCAACATCTTTTTGGTACCTAGAGATCTTTTGACATGGAATTGCACAGCATTTGCAGTGTAATTGGAAGCATCTGGGAGAAAGTTTACTGTGTTGATTCCTGGGATGAAGGAGTTAACACAGAAATATGGGAGAAGTAGTAGGTCATTTGGCCCTTGGAGCCTGCTCCACCATTCAACCTGATTGTGGCAGAGGATCCAACACAGTATAAACCAAAAGATCTACGGATGCTGTAAATCAGGAACAAAAACAGAAGTTGCTGGAAAAGCTCAGCAAGTCTAGCTGCATCTGTAAAGAAAAAAAATCAGAGTTAACATTCCAGGTCCGGTGACTCTTCCTCACTACTCAGTCACCAGAAGGTTCACCGAATCCGAAACGTTCACTCTGATTTTTTTTCTTTACAGATGCAGCCAGACCTGCTGAGCTTTTCCAGCAACTTTTGTTTGTGTTCCTGATTTACAGCATCCGCAGTTCTTTCGGTTTTGATTGGATGATTGCTGAGAGGATGTTTCCCTTCTTGGTGGGAATCTAGAAATGGGGGACACAATTTCAAAACAAGGTGAGATTCAGTGAAAGAAGTGATAAGGAAGATTTTCTCTTCCTCAGGGAACAGTAGAATCCGGGCAACTGAATATATTCATGGCTGAATTAGACAGATTTTTGATCTATTAAACAGTACAGGGTTTTGGGGTCTCAACAGGAAACTGGACTTAAGGCCACAGCCTGATCAGCCATGATTTTGATGAATGACAGAATAGGCTTGCGGGAGGTTGAATAGACTACTCCTATACTTATTTTTTATGATCCTGTGGGCATGGAGTTATACATGGAATAATGGATATTGTGTGCACCAAGTCAGACTGAGGGAGTGATCGACTGCACCAAGTCAGATCAGGGGAGTGATTGACACCTAGGACAGATGTGTACAGAGAATAATTGACAATGCCAAGCTAAGGGCAAACAGCAGAGGTTCAGAATAATGATTTCTGAAAGAGCTGATACAGTCATGAAGGACCCAATGGTCTTATGAAAGGCAATAAGGTGAGCAACACATCCATTATTTAGTTTTTCTTTACAACTAACACAAATAATAAATTTTGAAAAATGAAGATTCAGCTCGCTGAAATACATTGGTTTAAATCTTGGCATCTGACCTCCCAAGCATCTCCACTGTAAAAGCTTTTGTTTTAAATCAATACATAATATAAGCAATCTCAATCACATTCCCTCTTCCCCCAACCAACCAGCCTCTTTTATTTAATCTTCTCTCCTGGAGATTCAACAGCAGCTTTGTACAGAACAGAAGCAATATGGACATTTGCCAGATTTTTTATAAAAGGAAAAGTGATGTCATTTTAATTTGTCTATTAAACTGGTTTCAGCTGTAACTGCAAGCATCTCAAGTTCAAGAAAAAGATAAATTGAAATGGGACAATGCAGTGCAGGCACAATCCAGTCACCCCATTTCAATCTGTCACTCTTTAATGCCTGTTAGTATACATCACCAATATTCAGGAAGCAATTAGTATTCTACTGCTCATCCTGAACACCAAAACACTTATACTGCAAAGCTACAGACAGCTGGAAAGCAAATAATTTAACCCTTCCTACTTCTTCAACAGCTTCCAAGATTATAACATGGTTCTCACTGCAAAGCTTTTCTGAAGACTAATAAACAATAGTTGAATTCATCAGATTATTCACTGTCAAGCCAAAAAATACAATCTGGTGAATGTTACGGAGATCCTCGAACAGTTAACTTTTAATTCCTCCCATAATTGATGCTGTCTTTGGTACTGGCAATGTTCTTTGACCTTCCCCACAGTGATTATTGCAGCTATCCTTTAATTTAGAGAGACACATTGATGTTTGCAAGTCAAGCAATGCGATTATTTTATGTTCACTGTGACTCTGCACCATCTCTCAGCGAGACATCAGCTGATGCGGGCTCCAAGGAGATCTCTATGGAAACTGGGTTACCACGGAAATGCTGATACTGAACTATTCTGACAGTAAGATGAATTTATCGAGGATCATCCGGGTGAAACTGCTGCAAAAAAATTCATCTTCAAGTGTTAAACACGCCATCTCTGAGCAGGACAAGACTCACAGAAAGCTGACAAATACAACCCCTTTTCATAGATGAAAAGGAAACTAATTCATAAATCAGTTATACAATAAACTGGATTTAATCGGTGAATAATTGATTATATATTAATAATGCATCCTTTTCTCAATAAAAATTAAATAACATTAATAAATTAATTCAAACATATGTTCTGCCCATTTATTTTTTGAAAAGAAATCAGTTTATTTTGCTGGCTTTAAATTGATTGATATTCAGGATATATTCATCAGCTTCTGTTTGTAAAGACAGAAGATGAGACAAAGATTATTTGGAGAAAAAAATGTCTATTATGGTATTAAGGCTGTTGGGTTTCAGTGCATAGTCATGCATGAATGTTATATTCAATCCAATTCTGAAGGAGGGATGTGTCATCACAGAATTTGACTGTCTTTATGTAGTGGCTTACTCTTGTATGACTTATTTTTAGCCATCTGATGAAAAAATATTTGGTCAATCTTTGCTGCACAGTTAGGTTTCCATGTTATGGAGAAACCAGCCCTATCAGACTCATCAAATATATGGTCGTAGGTATTTGTGTTATAGTTCATTGCACCTCAAAAAGGCCGGATGCAGATCTGTTCCAGCAATTTCCCAAATGGCAATGATAAATTATTGGGCCATCAGGTGGGGGAGGATCTGAACGTGGGGGTTTGAGCATGTTGCAGCTGCTTCCTAACACAGGCCTGAAGAAAATACAAGGGGCCAAGTTAGTGGAGAATGCACTCGAGTCTAATGGTGGTCAGTTATACAGCGACACTGGCAGAGCCATTACAGCTGGTCCCATCAAGCAGATATCAAGACACAATGTGGGAGTGGGGCAAAACAAAGAAGGCTGACAGACAAAAGAAAATTGCTTTTATACACAGCCATTTCAGTCAGACTTCACTGGAGTGTGACCTACATTATACAAAGGAATAGTCTTCATCACTTGATACTGCTTCAGAGGATCCAACTTGTACAGATGCCGGTCAGTGATGAAAATGGCACGGTCCTCAGATTTATTAAATCGATTTATCTGTAGTGAGATAAAGACAAGTACAGAATAAGTATTAAAACCAATCCAAGGCACAGCTCTTAAAACTGTATGGGAATAATCGTGGCAAAGCCTTACGGAATCAACAGCGCAAATTTGGACCTAATTTTTGTGGTGGTGGGGGGATTAATTTTCCTTCAGGTTCAGGAGGAATGACGACAACCCAGTTTTGTTTTTAAATATAATGTGACATGACCTCCCTTTCATTTAATGTGACACTCCTGCCCTTTCTCTGCACAAGAAGAAAGTTAGGAACTTTGTTCAGTTTGAACACTTACTACCCTGAGAGTTACCTTTAATCATTATAAAAGTGAATGGCAGATTGCACTCTGAATGATAGTTTCAGCACATGTGCTAATCTCTTGCACTGTGGTATAACTGGCCAGCATAACTGGGCTCTTCCTGCTACTAATTAAATGTTGATGGCATTGAACTGACATCACCAATGCAAGACAGTCACTAACTTGAGAACCTGTATCAGCCCAAAAATACACAACCTGAGCTCCTCTTGTATGCCAGTTATAATGTTGATCCACACATATCAGCAAAACCTCTGGTTTCTGAACAGTTTGCTGACTTTACACAGCAAATGGGAGGGAAATTGAAACAGATGTAATTTGTGCTTCTTACTCTTCATCCATTGACAAGAAAGACAGGCAGACTAATATCTTTCAAAGCCTCTAGATATTGTAAAGTACTCTTATTTAAAAGTGAGTGTTGCTTTTTAATCATTTATAGAATATGTGCCTGATTTTTGAAGTGTCCGAATTCACCTGAATTCTAAGTCTGAAGTGTCACAGTAAAACTGTACAGCAAACTCTCACAAATAGAAATTAGATAAACAACCAGATTATTTGTTTTGGGTTCCGCCTTGGGGTAAATATTGGCCAACTCCCTCACTCTTTTTTGAACAGTATCATGGGGTCTTTCTGGTCCACCCTGGAGGATAGGCAGAAAAGTCTCGGTTTGACTCCTACAAAAGACCTAATGTTAAATGCTATACATATATGTCAGTGAAGACAGGATTAGGCTCTACTACAATTCCCTCACCATTCAATAGTTTGTTAAGTCAGCACATGATAATGAGAATTCTGAAAATAAAAGTTACATCCCGATATAGAATTGGCCAATAAGCCATATAATTCCTGGAACATAATTTTACCTATCACTTTAATGCTCTTTTTCAAATAGGTTTTGTGTGGGTTCCTACTGAACATGAAAATGGAGACTTCAGTTTACCATGCTGTCAACTGTCAACAGAGTATAGTGGAGTCCTGTAGCTAGGACTGCCTTACAAACTGTTGGCATACTCGGTGAGTTCTAAATTATAAAGCATGATGTAATTGTCAGCTGATAACACAGGGTGCATCTGTGCAGTTGATGAAAAACTGATGGAATGTAAAGGAATTTTGCCTTTGGGATGATACACAATCACAAGCCTGTAAAATACAACCATCTCACCGAAGCAAGTTTGTGTCAGGACATCTGCCTCCAGCAGAACAAGTAAACTCCAAACAAACTCTTTTTTTATATACATGAGTGCACCTTCAAAGTCTAGCAGCTATATAGGAAAAAGTTGCAATGCAGATGCTTATCACTTTCTGACAGCAACATTTCACAGCTTCAAAGAAGTTTCTTAACTACAATGATGACGCAACAGTTAGCTGTCTTTGATTTGCGGTCCTGTTATAAATAATCCAGGCAACATGAGTGAAACACAAAATAATCCTGCCCTGCACATACTATGTACGTTGCATGTCATACACCATGTAAGTCACTGCGCTGGCACACAGTTTTTGGGGAAGTTGTGACAATGTCTGTGAGATGAAAGTGGATTGGCACATTCAGCTTTTAGACTAACCACTGTTGAAAATCATGGTATGCCAACATGCTTTCTGAAGGTGCAGTTATGATACACTTTGGAGTAATACTTTTGGTAGATGCAACTGCCAAAGTGACAGGGAAACCAGTCTTCTTCAATTACCACGTTCATTCCTCATGGATTTCACAGAGACTTGCAACAATACAGTATAATATTAAAGAACAATAAATTTTGCACATATAAGCCTCTTTCACATGTTTTAACGTGCATCACTGTTAATGAATTTGATCCAAAATGGCTGGCTAATTAATGAAGTTAATGTTAATAATGACACTGGGAGATTGACTCACAGCAACACCCAATGCCTAGCATCTTAAAGCAAGACTGTATGTTAAATCTATTTACAGATCAAGGACTGAAGCATGCTATGCCATCATCGGGTATTGTTCTGTGGACCTATGTGATACAACGTGGTATGGTGTTATTTCTGGGCATCCTAGGTCGCATCTTAAGTCTGCCAGGTTTTCTGTTCTTGCTTCCAACAAGCTTCTAGTCCATGTTATAAGCCTTGAAAAAGCAGATTCAATTTACCAGAAGCATGCTGGAAAAGCATTATTTGTGACATTTTATAGCCTCCCCATAACTTGCTCCCATAACAGGAGCCTGGGCTCCTAACTGCAGTGCACAGAGCCTGGAGTCCTGGCAGTGGTAGGCCTGAAGCCTAGATTCTTGGTGGTAGAGATGACCGGAGCAGAGATCCTCGGCAGTGTCAGCAGAGCTGGGATCTCCTGGGGCATCAGCATCATCATTGCTGTTCCCAGAGCAGGACTCGTTGAGCACCGAAGCACCTTCCAGATACCTTGTATAAGCCCTGCGGCCATGCTTGAGACCCCAGTTTGAACATAAGACAAATTCTTCTTTAAGCATATTCTTTTTATCGTTATTGGAACTCAAGATGGTGCCGGATTGCAGCAACAAAACACTTTTCACTATCTTCATGATGTATGTGACAATAAATCATTCACTCATGCAAAAAGTAATGGTATTAATGACCAGTTAACCTGTTTTCATGATTTTGGTTGAAGATGAAGTCTGAGGAGAATTCCCTTGCTCTTCTTTAGAGTGTGTCAATATGGTATTTTTTGCACCTACCTCAGTGGGTAATGGTGGCTTTGTTTAACGTCTCATTTGAAAGACAGTATTTAGAACCAGTGCAGCAGCGCCAGCCTAGATTTTGTGCTCAAGGGTCCGGAAGGGAGATTGAACACACAACCAGGTGATTCAAAGGCAAGAGTGTTATTAATGAGTCAAAAACTTTTATCAGGACATGGCTGAAACAAAATACATTAAATGGAAAAGGAACTATGAATTCCTAAGCATCTGCAGATTGGTGGATGTAAAGATAAAGTAGATCTTTTTCATGTTTAAAATAAAAACAATAACTAAAACAAAATTAAGCCTAAAAATTTTTGCAGTAACTTGCAAAGTAATTAATTTATCCAAGTTAAATATTTTGATTTGATTTATTATTGCCACAGGTACCTAGGTACAATGAAAAGTTTTGTTTTGCATGCAGTACAGGCGGACCATATAATACAAAGTGCATTAGGGTAATAGAACAGAGCGAGGAATACAGTGTTACAGCTTCAGAGAAGGTGCACAAAGAGCAAGATCAACATTAAATTTGAAAGGTCCATTCAGAATTCTAATTACAGCGGGGAAGCTGTTCTTGAATCTGTTGGTCCACGTGTTTCAGCTTTTGTATCTTCTGCCCGACAGAAGAGATGATAACATAATAAACAGGGGTCTAAGATAAAACAACAACTACTTCATTGATAACAAGGTGTAGAGCTGGATGAACACAGCAGGCCAAGCAGCATCAGAGGAGCAGGAAGGCTGACATTTTGGGCCTAGACCCTTCTTCAGACTTCATTGAATTACTTTAAATTTGATCCAAAATGGCGAGCTAATATCATACAACTTGCTTTATGTAGTGATTCTGCACATAGTACTAAGTTTACAGGGAACCAAAACCTTAGCTGTGGTTCTATGGATAGCATTCTCATCTCTGTTGCAGAAGTGGCATCAAACCTCACTTCAGAAACTTCAGTGCACAATCTAGGCTGAACACTCCAGTATGGCTGTGAGGGATTGGTGCTGTCTTTTCAATGAAATGACAAACGTAACTTGGTCTGCGATCTCGAGTGAAAAATCCATACCCATGGCAGTACTGAAAGCAGAGCTGGGAAGTTCTTCCTGGTGTACTGGTCAACATTTTTCTATGAACTAACATTCATGAAGCAGTTCATCTGGACATTATCACATCGGTGTTTATAGGATCTTGCAATGTGGAAATTTACAATCATATTTCATATATTACAAATGTGGCTACAAGTGAAAGGTAACTGATTAAAATGGAAAACACTACTTGCTTTAAGGGAGAAATTAATCTTTGTTAAACCGTGAAAAAAGTTAAACCCTTTGAGGCTGACAAGCTAACACTAACTTTAATTTGAAAAACCATCAATATTTAATTAGAACATAGAATATGTCTAGCAAGAGCTCTGCACTCTCAACACAATCGCAGCGCTTTCTTCATACTGACTTACAATGCTAACATGAACTTCATGTTATGTGAGCTTCCCTAACTGCAACATGAAGATCAAGTCTCCAGTGCTCTTTCTGGATCCTCTGAATAAAACTGTGCCTGGTAATGGTGGAGAAAATTTGCTGTGGACTATTGACCGGAAGAAATTTAAAATATTAAATAACATTCTTCCCACATCATCCAAAACTGATATGATTTTGGAATAAATAATAATTAACAATTATGAGACTGACTTTTCTTTTTCACTTAATAAGATCGTGTAATGGAAACTCAATAAGTTTTGGTTGAGTGTTGAAGTTTTGTAGTAATTAAAGAGTTAAACAACATTAGAAGAAAGGCAGTTTCAGCAATCACTCTATTTCACCTCTGTATTAATTTAGTTAATTATAGAATCACAGAACAATAACGCTCACAAGGAAGCCATTGTCATAAGCATACCAGTTCTTAAGGCACGATCCTAACAGCCCCACTCCCTGCTCTGTCTCAATTATCCATAAAATTTTACAAAGGATTTATCCAATTCACTTCTGAAAATTATTGTAGAATCTGCTT